GGGGGTTTGGGAAGTGGAGCATGTCAAAGTTGACGATTTTTAACAGTGGGAATTTTTAAGCAGAGTGAACTGGAACTTCTAAATTTTCTTTCTAGTTCAAGGCCTAGAGAATGTCTAATTGTTGGTTAGGATAATGTGTTCTGTAGTTCTCGAAGAATTAAGGAAGGTTTAAGTCATCGTTTCGATGAGATGGAGGGGGTTTAGAAACTAAAAGACCTCAAAGTCGACAATTTTCCCCTGTGTGTTACCACAAAGAGTGAATAGGAGAGCTCCTGAAGTTTCCCTTCTGACTACATCTAGGCTTGGGTTATTCCAAGCACAGTCCATGACTCTTCAAAGTTAGATTAAAGTATGACGAAGTTCATGCCCTGTTCATTTCACCGTGGACAGCTCTACTCGAAAACCCTTTCAACTCCGAGTCTCCAGTTTTTTTCTTCTCGAGCTATTCCTCACTACTACAATCTACACTACAAAGTGTAACCACACAGGGTAACCAGACCTAACCGAACCCTAGCATCTCATCATTTCTACCATCTCCCGACCTAACATTTCTTCAACTCCGACCTAACTCAGACCTAACTCAGACCTGTTCATTCTTTATTTCCTTCTTCCGACGCTTTCTCTGCCACCGGGGTACTGCTTCGTATGATAAAGCTCTACTTCCCGGGACAGAGGTAACGTGGGCGTCCAATCACGTAGGTACGTCTACGCCTATGGCTCGTGTACCCTCCTTCTTAATCGAAGGGAACCATGCTTGCTCCTTGCACAAAATGTTGGGTCTCTTTTACGGTCCTTGTAATATATATATATTACAAGGTATATATATATATATATATATCTTACTTTCTTTCTTTCTGGTCATTTGTCTACGTCTATTTTAGAGTTGTATATTGTATATAAATAATAATAATAAACAAATAACTGAATGAGACCTAAGTCAGACCTAATCCAGACCTAACCTACGCTTTAATTACCAACGCACCTATCCACGCCGCGGTGTCCACTTCCTGTCCGTCGAGCGACGCGGAATCGCGTCGGCGGAGGCGGAAGAGCGGAAAAAGAAACCGCGACGAAGCGCACCGCAAGCCACTCGAGCGCGTATCATTGCTTTCAAAGAAGCCGCTATCGCTTACCCGACGCAGATGGCCCGCCGCGTGGCGGCGCGTTCTTCGACCGGGAAAGGAGCTTTTTTTTTTTTTTAATCGTCCAGCCTCGCTTTTCCGCTGCGTTTCAGTCTGGTTAACGTCTAAACGCCAGCTACTCCCATCGTTCTCACTGGCATCGGTATCTCATACCCGCGGAACGAGAGCAATCCTTTCGATCCAAAGATAGAGGCACGATAGAGACGAGTGGCGACTTCCCACGACTCGATTTCGAGACTGACTACTCCGAACCCGGGCCCTCGAGCGGACGAAGTGAAGTGAAATTGCGAGTGAAGTGGGATTCGGAAATGGTGGTTTGGCAGGGACAGGGGTTCCGTCTTCTATTATCGAAGAACCATGGATAGCTAAATCTCTAAATCTTGGTTTAACGAGAGCTATATCTTGGTTGACTCGATAGTCTAACTTTTTGACTGCGGCATGATTTTTGCTGGATATTCTAAGAGGTGTAGAGATGGGAATTTAAAAAAAAAAAAATATCAGCTTACAGAGGATGATGAGACGGAACTTTTTTGTATTTACAGTTTACTCGTGCGACGTTTAGTTTCGGAGATAAAAATTGAAAACTTGGAAGACTTACTTCCTGGTGTTGGAATGTACGACCGACGAAAATCGATCGATACCTGATATAGTGGACGCGTGAAAGGATGTTTATATAAACAACTTGCTGAACGAACGAGCACGTGCGTTAAAGAAAAATAGTTCCTTTATCGGACTAATGTTGGTCTGGTCCCTGTGACTGGATTCATCCCTGTGACCGGACTCAGTTCTTCGAACGATTTCGGTACGGTACGGACGTAACTCCCTCGTTATTGATTAAATATAATAAAGTATATTTTATATATTAAATATTAGGTTGTCCCGAAAGTTTCTTTCGCGAGTTGCACTCAATTATTTTACGTGGTCATGTTTATATAAATAGACAATCTAATTTCATAGATATTCACGTTGTAACAGTAATGGAGCAAAATGAATCGTGCGCAATTCCGTAATGTAACATAAAACATAAAACATAAAATATTAATATCGCGCATGTATTACTTATTAATAAAGCGAAAGAAACTTTTGGGACAACCTCGTACAAAGCGAAACATTTATTTAATTACCCATTTCCAATACCTGAAACTCAATCTTTGCAACGAACTTCGAAAATAATCTGTATAGTAAGGAAGTCGCGGATCTAAAAACTTTGGGAACCTCTGATCTAGATTGTTTTAACCCTTTGCACTCGAGGCCTTTTTTCTCTGGTATCTACTCTGGTAGCAACTCGAGATACTTTCTTGGATATCTATTGCCACGAATGCTAAGATTATATCGACTTCGAAAACGAGATCTCTAATTTGAAAATCGGGGGACAGCTTTGCATCAACGACAATCATTTTATTGGCACTTCGAGTTTCAAAGAAATTAAACCTAAAGAAAACCTAGTCGCCACTCTCAGCCACCTCTCGAGTGCAAAGGGTTAAGGGGGGAGGGTCAAGTAAAATTCAAAATTTTGACCTGTTGTTTCGTTTGTTTAGAAAATTAGTTTACCATTTGGAGAACGTGCTCCGACTATTTCAGCTAAAACTTCGAGGTCTAAGTGTACCTACAAAGTCATTAAAGTGCTGCGCTCCGAACGGTACACGAAGAACGGTACACAAAATTTCGCGTGCCGTGCAATGTAGCTTAGAGGTTTCTCAGCCGATTGCTATGAAACTTGGCACAAAATATTCCTTAAACTATTCTCTTTTGCATCGACCTAAAGGTTTTTATGAAAATTGAAATAAACAATGTTTTTAATCATTTCTTTTATAACAAGATTCTTTTAACGTGGCGTGAAATTTCAAATTAAAAATTTTTTTCTTTTAATCTAGGTTGATGCAAAGCGGATTACTATATTTTGACGAAAAATTGGTGGATTTTTCATTTCAAATAATTACAGTGACCTGTGCGTTGCACGGCGGATTTTCGAGAAGCCAACTTCAAACAGCTGCTGTTCGTTCGTTTATGAATACTTTTACATAAAAAAAGAATTATATACATTATCTAGATGCTACAAAGTATCAAGTAATTAGTTGTAAATAAATATATATTACGCACTCGTCAAAAATAATTCGCGAAAAATCGGTTGTTTACACGACCCTCGCCCCTTAATTACCCATTCCCAATACCCGAAACTCAATTTTTGCAACGAACTCGGAAAATAATCTATGTACTAAGGAAGCCGCGGATCTAAAAAGTTTGGGAACCTCTGATCTGGACTACCTCTGTTTTAATTATACATTCAATTACGAGATGGCAGCATCGAGTCGCCTCTGGGTAAAATTGCGGCTGAACGTTGCGTTAATTGATAGAGTATCGAAAAGTAAATGATTCGGGATACGAACCGTACGGCGACGCCCGTTGAAATCCAGCTCCGTCGTAGGCGCGCCAGGAGGACATCATGGCGACGTTCTGCGCGTAGAAGGGCGCAGCGGCAGCGAGGCTGGAGTGAGGGTGGCCCGTGTGGGGGTGGCCGGCGTGGGGGTGGCCGTGGCCGGAGTGTTGGCCCATGGCCGCCGCGGCCGCGGCAGCCGCGGCTGCGGAAGCGGAACCGCTCGCGTGGCCGGCGAGCGCGTGATGCGCGGCGTACGTCTCCACTCCATGCTGCCAGGAGGCCGCTGTCTTCTCCCTTTCGTTTTCGACGATCGATCGTTAATCGATTCGAGGCTGAGTACGCGATCGTTAGCGACGGGTACCGATAGCCATTAACGGATCGACGATGCTCGAGCAAGCGGCTCGATACCGAACGGGCAGTAAACCAACGTGTCCGGCTACCGATTCCAGATATCGATACTTTTGTAATTATTGTTACTGCGGGCATAACCTTGGTTATGGGCGATTTATGGACGTCCCGCGTTTGCGGACGATCGGAGCCGATACCGTCCCGGAGGAACCAGTTTCGCGAACGAATGTTCATAGAATGTTTGTACAATCGCGATAAAAGGAAACTCGCGACGCCCGGAAGATGTAGGTTTATCGAATGTATTAAGGCGACTGGAAAGTAATATTGTTTCTTCTAGATTATATTCAAATGAATAAATTTTGTGATAAATTGTGTAATTGCGTGAGGTCGTCGGCAGCCTTTTGTGCCATCCAGTGTGCAAATTTTCGATGCCAGATCGATAAAAATGAATTATTTGACGAATGATATACAATTATTGTATATTACTTTCCAGTTTGACTAACGATTCGAAGAATAATTCCTACCATTGTTGGTGTAAAAAGTCTAACGGAATCTTCGAAGATAATACGTTTGAATCTTTTCGACGAGACTTACGATACAGAAGTCACGCCCTCTGTTTCAGTACTAGCATTTGTATATATGTATAAGTACTCGTATCCCCTATTCCAGAAATTTGTTTAAATTAAATAACAGGTTTCATACAATACATTTCTAGCTCGGTGTTGATCTTGTACAGTTATCGTACAGTTCGTATATTCTCTAATTTTGCCAACAATCTTCGAACGTACAGAAGGACAGCGAATAAAGAAGAGGACGTAACGAAAACGCAGGGCATGTCTAAGAAAACACCAGATCGTATTACACTCGGCGATCGAACTCCACGACCCTTTAAGAGGTATACTCCGTCACGGATCGTGTTACACTGCTCGGCGATCGAACTCTACGATCTTTCAAGAGGTATTATTTAGCGAGGCCCCGGTGGTGGGGCTCGTTCAATTTAGTCAAACTTCTTCAATGCAACTTCTTCGAGAGGGTGCGAATATTTATGGGGACTGACTGTACATCATCGTCCAAGTGGCAAACCCGTCGCTAACAATCCTGGAATATCGCGGCTGTTTCGAGTCGAAACTTTCAACGGTGATTCGATTGGTCGATCTTACCAAGCCGGCGAGCCAGACGCAGGGAAGGAATGGTACTGCGCGGCAGCTGCGGCTGCGGCTGCGGCCGCCGTCGCAGCCGACGGAATGGTGGGCCTCGAGGAGGGCACATAGACGGGCGCCTGGAGCTGCTGCCCGTGTTGCTGCTGTTGCTGTTGCTGGGATTGCTGCTGGTAGTCGGAACTTGCACCGTAACCACCGCTTCCGCCCCCGTGGAACATCCTCCTCGAGAGCTAGAACCGCGGCATCTGCAACGAAAAGCGTCGTGGTTCAAATAAGAGTTCCAAGGACTCCGATTTTGCCTATCCGAACCCTTTATGCGTTTCAACTGTTAATTACAGACGCCTTAGTATAAATAATTGAAGAAATGTAACGCTTTGAATTATTGGAAAAATTCACTATTCTATAGCATCTTCCTCGAGAGAGCCAGAATCATGGCATCTACAACAACAAGTGCCTTTATTTAAATATGGATTCTAAGGACTTCGATTTACCTAATCTAACCCCTTGTGCGCCTCAACTGTTAATCACAGATGCTTTACTATAAATAATAGAATAAAAGCAACACTTTAAACACCCTCAAAAATTCACTATTCTAATCCTCCTCCTGGAGAGCCAGAAATATGGCATCTTCAACAACAAGTGTCTCTATTTAAATATAGATTCCAAAGACTCCAGTTCTTCTAGTCTAACCCTTTGTGCGCCTCAACTGTTAATTACAGGTGCCTTACTATAAATAATAGAATAAATGCAACACTTTAAACACCCTCAAAAATTCACTATTCTAATCCTCCTCCTGGAGAGCCAGAAACATGGCATCTTCAACAACAAGTGCCTCTATTTAAATATAGATTCCAAAGACTCCAGTTCTTCTAGTCTAACCCTTTGTGCGCCTCAACTGTTAATTACAGGTGCCTTACTATAAATAATAGAATAAAAGCAACACTTTAAACACCCTCAAAAATTCACTATTCTAATCCTCCTCCTGGAGAGCCAGAAACATGGCATCTTCAACAACAAGTGTCTCTATTTAAATATAGATTCCAAAGACTCCAGTTCTTCTAGTCTAACCCTTTGTGCGCCTCAACTGTTAATTACAGGTGTCTTACTATAAATAATAGAATAAAAGCAACACTTTAAACTCTATCAAAAATTCACTATTCTTATCCTTCTCCTGGAGGATCCTCCTAATCTTGCTTTCCTACTATAAATAACGGAAGAAATGTCAAGCTTTAAACTTCCTCGAAATTTCACTCTTTTATCTCCCTATCCTCTTTCGACATTGTTACCAGTGACCTGCTATAAAGTGTTCAACAAAAATTCCCAAGGAATATCTCTTGCAACCTGGCAGGTCTACAGATACATATTTCCCCTGTAACGAAGGTAGACAGCCAGGAGAGTGATTTCTCGTTAACTCCACGAGCTTGTAGATCCTTGTATACATGTCCTGTTACTTCCTCCCCATCTCGAGTATGCATCTCTTTGCAACTTTGTCATAATGACCTACTTGAGAATAAACAGAGATTGCTGAGGCATGCATCGTACAAGATTGCTAGGTTCACAGAAACCTACATGTGTAACCTACATTCTGACAGGGATAAAGCTGGCCAACCGGAGTAATCCTCCAGAGTAATCATTCGGAGATTCCAGAAGCTTGTAGATCATGGATTCTTAGTACTGCACGCGTCTTGTTATCTCGAATATGCTCTTCTTCGTCAGTTAGTTCATCTTGAATCCCTCGTTATCACTATTATCATTAACACGCTCCTCGAACAGCTTCGGACCTAACCACTGTCCATCTCTATACATCCAACTATACATTCACCTTTCCACTCCATCATCATCGCTATTATCCTTCCCAACCCTACAAACACATGCTCCTCCACAAATGCAGGCTCAGTCCTGAGATATCGGAATCGATTCAGCCTACCTAACCGAACTAGAGCTCTCAGCCATTCGAAAACAACATCCAGCGGATATCCACCCGTCGAACCTTAGGCGCAGAAGGACGCAGGGTGCTACAACAAGCGAGAGGGAGGAGAGAGAGAGAGAGAGATATTTCGACCTAACTCGGACCAACTCGGATTCGCGAGATGGTATGGTTTCTCGGAACCAAAGGGGGGGGGGCAGGGGGCCGAGCGGCGGCGGGCCTAGGAATTCGTCGAGGAGGATCCCTTGCGCGAGCGAGAGGATACTCAGGGAATGGAGGGAAGCGACCAAGGAAGATGGACGGAGACGGAGGGAGAAGAAGACAGAGCGCGCAGACGCGTCTCCACCTTCGAGGCGCGACTCGGGTCCGAGCGGAGGATCGGAGATACGGGATAGCGGCCATCGCGGCCACGAATAAGATCCGTGTAGGCGGGACCAAAGCGAACCAGCGCGATGGATCGATCCCGACGGAACGACGCCACCCAGTGGTCGATTTTAACCGTCCGGGTGGACCCGGCCGTGTACTTGCTCTTGTTTTCGAGCTTTATGGCTTTGGAGCTCCCAAAAAATTGTTGTTGATGTTCCTAACTCAATGATGGGAATTTGTATTCGTCCATCTTGGTCCTGATAAAATGACGACACTCAGAAATCGATTTTAATTATCTAGAGGGTCTTGTTGAGACACCCAGGTGTCTAGTTACTTTTGTTTTGGAGTTTTGTCGCTTTGAAGCTTGGGAAAAATGGTTGTGGTACTTGTTATTGTCGGTAGGTGGACGTTGTTGACGTTTCTAACTCAATCATCGCAATTTGTATTCGTCCAGATTGATCCTGATGGAACCGCAACTCTCAGTTCGATTTTGACCACCCAGAGGGCCTTGGCGCTTCATTGCCTTCAAGATGAGAAAAATGGTTCCTACTTTGTCCCCCAAATCCTGGTATAGTTAGCTGAAAACTTGAATCGTAGAAAAAGATGGAGATAGGTGGATCTAAACACCTACACGATCTAAACACCTACTCTTTTTCGTTAAATCGATCGATCTCTCTCGAAACTATAATTGAAACTCCATCGTTAGAAGAGTTAAGCAGCCCTTAACCCTTTATTTACTGGCGTGGCTTATATTACAATTGAACGCTTTGAAACCTATTGTGACTTTCAACTCCACTTCTATGAAGTTCGTTTTTAATTGCTAGATGGCAGCACGAGCTTTCCTTCTTTTGGAAGCTTGTTAGAGAGAACACTGTAAGATGACATGAGAGCAAGATGGACGCCTCGATTTAAAAAACTTTTTCAAAATTCAGTAAATGAAGGGTTAAAAATTCTTTCTTCGTTGGAAAGTGTAAATATCGCACAGTATATAACAACTATGAAGATCCTAAAGATTGCCTTCAGTTCAAACGAGAAAGTCTCTTTAAAAATCCTTTTAGACGATCATATTGTGGTGTGTGTGTGTGTGTGTGTGTGTGTGTGTGTGTGTGTATGTGTGTGCACGTGTGAGTGAGTGTGTACGCGCGAGGGTGTGTATCACTGCGTGAAGCCGACGATCGAGCACGATTATATTGTTTTCACTAACATAAGATAAGAAAGCCGGCAGCGACGTGAAGGAAAGAAGCGTAGAAAATTGCGTCGCTTCGTTTTGAACCCAGTTAGTTGATAGCGAGTCACTTAGCGAGAACCGTGAACCGAGACGAATTTGTGTTTTTTTTTTCTGCAATAAACATATTTTAACAAATTTTCATCATTTCTTCCTTACATTATTTCCTACAATATCTGTTCTCGCTTCAGTTTCAGTACAACTCTCAGCTTTTCCTATATCTAAAAAGTAAACAGTGAAAAAAAAAACGAAAATGGAGACCGAGAACTGACGAGATGGATAGATACATTTCATTTCATAGGTTAGAAACCTCATTTGTAAAACAAGAGCGCCTCGCATTAGTTTTTTTGAAAATTTTGTACGGTGCACGTGTACAGGTCTTGTCGCTATCTCCGAGCTTTTTCTTCAGAACCAAAGCTAAGGCTGTTGCAATGAGACAGTCTTTATCCCTAAATTATAATATCGTAAATGTACACTCTTAAACCAGAATGAACAATATATACGTTGAACACTTTTAATCAATGAATTTTTGCGGGAAACTCAACGGGCTACAAAGAACTGAAACGGCTGGGAACAACGAGAACCGAACGAATCGTGTAAAGGACCTAGTTTTCCGAACCGAATCGAAACGAGAATAGAAACTGAAACCGAACCAAGAACAGATACGACCGTCTAAAAGGACCATAAAGGGAATTCATTGCAGCGAGTAAGTACAATGTGGACGGCGACGCGTAACTCGTGTAATTGAGAGCCTATGACGTCTGACCATAACGTCTGACCCAATACGCCTCTATGGGAGGTCTCTCCTTTCTCCGCACAATACCTGGCCGGAATTTTTATTCCCCTAACCGTTTCGTTCCACCGCTCCAACCCGTGGGGGACAGTTTACTTTAGAGCCTATTCCTCTGAAATCCTTGGGAGACTTTTGAAGATTTCGAAGTAGCGCTCGGATTATTCCTGAACAGCGAGAGACTGAAACCTCGAACGCATCGAACCTTCGATGTATCCAACTATCCCCGTCCGACAACATCAACGCAGCCCGCAAAGAAGGAAACGAGTACCCTCAAAAATACTCGGAAAAAAGTCTTGAAAATAGTCCCCGGCAGCTTTCTATCGCGATCGTGTCAACTTCCTTTAATGACGACAGGAAGAGGAGGAAAACGAGAAAAACAGAAATCCTAGAGCGCACGGTTACCAAAGAGGAACTGGTCTACGCGGACGAGTTTACGCGTAGAAGGGAAACGCGATCCTGAAACTCGGCTTCGAGGAGCAACATCGACTTCTCCATCGCATGTCACTCGTATCAAAAAAAAAAAGATCTGCTCGGCCGACAGCGGGGTGGAAGCGTTAGCGGGAATTTTTTAGATGAAAGGATTAGCGAACGACCGTGCGTTGCTACACTATGTGGAAATGATAGGCTCCACGAGATTCCTTTCCTTATCGAGCCGAAGAAAGAGCGTCATTCTCCCGAGCGGATTAATAAAGTCGCTTCGTGTAGGACTGCGCTAAATGTTCGGTGGTCAGCGATCTGGATGGATAAAGGTACAGTAAAGTCTCTGTAAATGTCTCTACCATAAATGCACGGAAACCATCCCCACCACTGAGGCTTACGAGGAGTGCAACACGATCCGGGACGGGGTATACCCCTTGAGCAGTCCAGGAGTTCGATCGCCGAGGGTGTAAACGTAACTCGGGATCCGGATTACTCGGCGAGAAAATTTAATGCA